TTGGTTCAGTCCATGTTCTATGAAAGTTATTTATTATGATTTGACAGGCCTGACTGCTGTCATCTTTCATATGTTGATTGAGTGTATGGAATGAAAATTTTGTAGATAATTTTTAAAAGGTTCTGTTAACAGGGTTAATTTAGAAAGCTTTGTAAAATGAATCATTTACTCCTGACACAGCAGTCATCAACTCAGGTAGTGACTTAGGGTATTCTAGAAAGAAACTAGTGTTGTTTATTTTTGCTCTTTTGGAGGACCTGCCACCCAGCTCCCAAATCAATTACACATGGAGGCTTATACATAATTATAAATGCTCAGTCTTAGCTTGGCTTGTTTCTAACTAGCTTTCCTTAACTTATCCCATCTATCTTTTGCCTCTGGGCTTTTATCTTTCTCTCTTTCTTTCATTATTTCTTACTCTATGGCTTGCTGTGTAGCTGGGTGGCTGGCCCTTGATGTCCTCCTCCTTCTTTGGCTAATTCCTTCTCTCTTCCCATATTTCTCCTTCTATTAATTCCTCTCTGCCTGCCGGCTCTTCCTATCCTTTCTCCTGCCTTGCTATTGGCCATTTAGTTCTTTATGAGACCATCAGATGTTTTAGATAGGCAAAGTATCACAGCTTCACAGAGTTAAACAAATGCAACATAAACAAAGTAACACACTTTAAAATAATATTTCCCCAACAAACTAGTATTCTGTTGAGAAGAAAACAAGGCAGTCACTGTTCCTGGGAGTATTTTTAAATTGAAAATTAAAAATCATTTTTTTTAACTTTTATTGATTTCTTTGTGGATTTTACATCCTGCATTCCAATCCCATTTATCTCCCCAACTAAAAATCATTTCTTTGGGGGAGGTTACAACTTAGAATTAAATTGTCTCTTTATGTAGCCTGACAAAATAAAATATATTTACTGTATATAGGTATATTAATTTAATAGTAACACAAATGTATTAAGTCATGTTTGCAAATACCAGATTTGGTCATCTTATGTAATAGTCCCAATTTTTAAAATTTTACTTTATCAAGTTGTAATAAAATTGTGTTTTATTTGAGATATTCTGGTTTTGTTCATTTGAAATAAATATACAAAATTCATCATATGTGAAAGCAAGGAATATCACTTAGACACTTCCTGTTCAGATTCATTCCTTAGACACTAACTTTAACTTGTTGGATCTTGGGGACTCGCAGATACTGAGGAACAGACCACTGAAGTCTATTAACCAGAAGCAAACTTTATTCCAGACGCTGCAGGGCAAAAAGAAACTTCCAGCTTGCTGGGGCCACAGTCAGAGTTCGGACTTCTGACACTGTGACAAGGGGAGCAGGTTTCGAGTCTCTTTTTAGTGAAAGCCAAGCATCAGGTGTGGACCAAAGAGATTTTTTACAATCTTGAGGTTAGATGTTGGGGAGATTTTAGGGCTAGAGTCACATTACATTTTAAGAGTTGCAATTTTTGCTTACAGGATATTAGTTTAAGGAAGAAGGGAAAAAAAAACAACCTGTAGCTACCTTGACACAGCCGTGTTGCCCATAGCTGGAAAGAATACAAGACAACGCAAGGCAAAGGGTCACGTAGAGGTGGCAATTCAAGGTTAAAGGAATTTATGGCTGAGGGCGTGTGGGAGAGCAACAGTTGAAGGTTAACCTTGGTCCACAGTGGCTGTCGTCGTCGTCGTCGTCGTCTGTACGGCAGGGGCTGTTGTTAAAAGTTAGCCTTTGTCCGCAGTGGCTGTCAGCTCCCTAGAATATGTGCAGGCTTACAATTTCTATATTTCTGGCCTCTTCAAACTGAATTCTCTTACAAAGCTTCCTGGTGCTTGTTCCTTACGCAGGAGGAGTCTGGTGTAAACAAACAGCTAATGCCAGTTACCATATCCTCCTACAGAACTCTGGTACATGGTCCAGCCAGTTGTACAATTGCATTCAACCTTGTGTTAACGCTATATTTAACCTTATGTTATACTAACTCATGTTAATCTTGATGTAAGATTTCCCTCATGCACTTTGTCTCATAATGTTCCTCGCAAAGTTGTACAGTTATTACCTTCTGACTTATGTTCTGGATCTCTGCCAACTGTTTTGTCATGGCCTATCTTAGTCAGGGTTACCACTGCTGTGACAGAACACCATGACCAAAAGCAACACGGGGAGGAACCGTTTATTTCACTCACAGTTTCATATAAACAGTTCGCCATCAAAAGCAGTGAGGGCAGGAACTCAAGCAGAGCAGGACCCTGGAGGCAGGAGCTGATGCAGAGGCCGTGGAGGGGTGCTGCTTACTGTCTTGCTCAGCCTGTTTTCTTACAGAACCCAGGACCACCAGCCTAGGGGTGGCCCCACCCACAATGGTCTGGGCTCTTCCCCATGAATCACTAATTAAGAAAATGCCCTACAGGCTTGCCTACAGCCTGATCTTATGGAAACATTTCCTCAGCTGTGGCTCCTTCCTTTCTGATGACTCTAGTTTGTGACACTCTTCTGAGGCATTCTAACTGATGTTCCCCTCGCCATGCTCTGTCAGCCACGATGCAGTTACAGATCAGAGCCTGAAACCCCTAAAAGCTGCTCAGGTGACCTGAAAATCGAACTAATGGGCCATTGAACCCGTCCCTCTTCTGGCCACTCTGGACATTGTTAGCACTCAGAACTAAAACAGCTGGACTGGAGCCTTCTTTGCAACAGTGAATCTTTCTGTCTCACCAGCTCAGATCAGCCTAACATCTTTCAGAACCTGCTTAACTCCTTGACTTCTGCAGCACTCCACACTTAAAAAGGACCAGCTCTGACTGCTGGGATGGGATTTGTGCTCTTCTCCGAGAACATGCTGCTTCTAGGCCAACCAATCCTAACTAGTTTGAAACTAGGCCTACAGACAGGGAGGAATAAAAAAAAATTCATTCACAAGCTTCCTCTTCTGTATAGGCTTCTGATCCCGCCCCCCCCAATCTGGCTCCTCCCCTGGATCACTTTGGTCCTCTCCTGGATCACTTTGGCTCCTCTCCTGGATCACTTTGGCTCTTCCCCTGCTCACTCTGGCTCTTCCCCTGGATCAATCTGGCTCCTCCCCTGGATCACTCTGGTCCTTCCCTGGATCACTCTGGTCCTCCCCTGAATCACTCTGGCTCCTCCCCTGGATCACTCTGGCTCCTCTCCTGGATCACTTTGGCTCTTCCCCTGCTCACTCTGGCTCTTCCCCTGGATCAATCTGGCTCCTCCCCTGGATCACTCTAGTCCTCCCCTGGATCACTCTAGTCCTCCCCTGGATCACTCTGGCTCCTCTCCTGGATCACTCTGGCTCTTCCCCTGGTCACTCTGGCTCCTCCCCTGGATCACTCTGGCTCTTCCCCTGGTCACTCTGGCTCCTCCCCGGATCACACCTTTCCTCACACTTACATTTTTACCGTGTCTTACAAATGTTTTACTTACTGAACTTCACGCTATACCCAAACTGTTCCACGTCAGTTCTCCCCATAGCTCTCACCCTACAACAGCTCCTGTCTTTGTTCCTGATACATCTGCAAAGAGACCTTTTAGATGTTGTGGAGAAGCCCTAGATAAAAGGGACCTTCATTCCTTTCACCCGGGGCCAGATACAGCTCTTTACATTAGTCTCCCTTCATTACATTTCCTTTACATTATTTCTTCTGTTCCCTTCCTGTGATGGTCTGGAGCTCCCTGCTACTTCTGCTAGCTCATTTTGGTGCAACAGTCCTGGCAATGGGACTAGTCACTGTCACCCTGAATCAACTCAACACCCACCTTCTCTCCGCAGCCCACTCTGTCTCTCCCGCCTCTGCCCCTCCCCCTCCCGAACCCTTCCCAGAAAAATCGCTGTTTTACTCTGTAACCAAATCATCTACTTACAGCCCTCTAATAATTATTTTCTAAGTCTCCAGGAAAACAGGATGGCAATCCCCTGGTCCATTGCAGCCGATATAAGTTAAGACTCCGCCCTCTTGGTGGCCTCGAACGCCTTTCGTCCCAGCACTCGGAGGCAGAGGCAGGCAGATCTCTCTGAGTTTGAGGCCAACCTAGTCTACAGAGAGTTCCAGCACAGCCAGGGCAACACAGAGAAGTGCTGTCTCAAAAAACAACCAACCAACCAAAAAGAAAAAAAAAAAAAAAAACCACACACACAAACCCCACAAAAAACAAAACTCTGCCTCTGCCCTTGCAAGCTGCATACATGACCAGAGACCATGTCTTCTTCAGTGGACCCAGAACTACCCGCTGCGAAAAAGACCCTCCTGAGCAGAAAACGGCGGCAACACCCCTGCTCCGAATCTTCATGTTCTCTCAGAGTTAGGAGGAGTGATAACTTCCTGCTGAAAGCCTACACTTCCCTTGCAGACTGCGGAAGTCATTCCCATCCCACCTTCTGTAGGCATTTTGCAAAAGTGCCTCCTTGCAGTGAATGAACATGGTCCTGCCTAAGGTCGGGCCAAGCCCCTCTTTCTTTAAAGCCTTCTGGTCCTCCACAGCTTCCTAAACAATGTAGCAGGGCGAGAGAGCAAGATACCTAATGTCCTCCACTGGTTCTACACATGTGCACACCACACGCACGCACGCACGCACGCACGCACACACACACTAAATAAATAAAATTAAACATCACTTTCAAAGCCATTACTAAAACTGAAGGTTTCGTGCCAATTATATGCAGCGTTTAAGGTTCTGGCCAGGCTCCTCTCTAGAGCTGTGTTAACTTTATTCTGTGAGCACTGTGCTCTGACTCAGAGTTCTGCTACTTCCTGGACACTTGGATAGGCTCAAAGTGACACTGGTCTTCAGGGTTCCAGGACACAGGGAGCCTCGAAGAAGCTACTGGGGTATGTCTCTTTAAAAAGTTGACACTCAGGTTGGGGATTTAGCTCAGCAGGCGCAAGGCCCTGGGTTCTGTCCTCAGCTCTGAAAGAAAAGAAAAAGAAAAAAGAAAAAAAGAAATAAATAAAAAATAAAAAGTTGACACTCAAGCTGGATCTTAAAGAAGGAAGAAGGCTGGGCCGTGGTGGCACTCGCCTTTAATCCCAGCACTCAGGAGGCAGAGGCAGGTGGATCTCTGTGAGTTCGAGGTCAGCCTGGTCTACAGAGCAAGTTCCAGAGCAGCTAGGGCTTTTATACAGAGTAAACCCTGTCTCAAAAAACAAAACAACAACAGAAAAAAAAAAAAAAAAAAAAAAAAAAAAAAAAAAAAAAAAAAAGGAAGAATTTTCTGATGAAGACAGAGCTTTCTGGTAGGAAGTAGAGAAAGTTACCATGAGGTTTTGTTTTTGTTTTTGTTTTTAACTGTGATATTGATACTGAGAAAATTAGGGTTCCCTCTTGTGGTTTTCATTAATAAAAGAATTTAAGAATGGACTCAAATGGCATCTTATCAACAATATTATTAGAGTTTAAAAGAACAATCCCAGGACAGGCAAGCTGTAAATCCTAGCAGCTGCCTTTAGGAGGGAGACAGAGAGGAGAAAGAGAAACTGTCTGAGTTAAGCTGGCATGGACGTATGGTGGACACATGGTGGACATTTGAGTTAAGCTGGCATGGACACATGGTGGACAAACAGCCACATGGGGGTAACAGGAGCTTTAGAGAAAGAATAAAAAGCCCAAAGTACCAGTAAAGGCATGCTTAGGCTCTGGCCAGGACTCAGAAAGGCAGGCAGACCCAAAAGAACTTCATCATGGTCCTGGGGCAACAGAGCCAGGGGGTGGGAATTCTGGGTAGGAAATGTACATTATCTCATGAAAGAGTTTTTTCCTCTTGTCTCCTTTACATGGCTTCAAGTGAACACATCCTGCTGAGGGTAGTCGCTTAGGCAGGTGATTGACCTGCCCAATTGGATTAACTCTTAAGGGAGGAGGTGACAGCATGTCTCCACCCAGAGGCAGAGTCCATTCTTTTAGCTCAGAGTTAGTAGCTTTCCCTTCATGGGCCTTCAATGCTGCAGTATCAGTGTCAGATATGATCCCCAAAAGAAACACAAGAGAGGTCCAAGACTACAAGTTTTAGACACAGGAGACCCAGCATGCCACACAGGGCGGGGGAGGTATACCAGGTTTTATGACTGAAGAGTAGGTACTAGAGACAGTAGTGTTAGGATTAATATGTGGAAGAAGCTGGCTGACAAAGAGACGAGAAACCCTTAAAAGAAGGCTGATACTGGAGCTGGAGAGATGGCTCAATGGATAAGACCACATCCTAGTCTTGCAGAGGACTTGAGTTCGATTCCCAGCACCCATATCAGGCAGCTTATAACTGTCTGTAACTCCAGCTCCAGGTGATCTGATATCCCTTAGACCACCTCCTTACACACACATAATAAAGAAAATGGTTTTTAAAAAGAGAAGACAGATTCTATGTAAACAACCTATAAAGGGTCTTGAGGCTCCTGGCCAAGCTTTTTGAGCATATGCCTTTCCTCAGCTTCTTAATCCTCCCCTGTTCTCAGAGGTACTTTCCTTTTCTTAATAAACTGCCTCTATGCTGGGCCATGGTGGGGCACTCCTTTAATCCCAGCACTCAGAGGCAAAAGCAGGCAGATCTCTGTGAGTTCGAGGCCAGCCTGGGCTACAGAGTGAGTTCCAGGACAGGCTCCAAAACAACACAGAGAAACCCTGTCTCAGAAATAAATAAATAAACAAACAAACAACCTGCCTCTATTTTTATTTCTAACCATGTGTCCCTGGTGCAATTCTTTGTCCTGGGATGCAAGAGCCTGGGAAATCTCAATGGCTACTCCCCTGCACCTCCCCCACACACCCTGAGATAGAAGATGGGAGTGAAAGTACGAACCAGAACCTGTATTGACATTACCCTGAGAAAACTAAGGCAGGGCAGGGTGGATGATTGAGGGCTGCCTAGATTGACTGTTCCTGTTGGGATGGTCTCTAGCTGCCTGGCATCTGCTCCGTTTAGTGTTGCCACCTGAGCTATGCAGGCCAGATAGAGCAGTGTTTGGGGTTGTTCATTTGCACATGAGCAGCATGCTTCTCGCTGAGCCTTTGTTACTTCTAACACTTTTTAAGTGGCACATACCTTTGATCCCAGCACCTGGGAGTCAGGGGTAGGCCAAGCTCTATGAGTTTGGGGTCAACTTAGCCTGCACAGGGAGTTCCAGGTCAGCCAGGGCTACATAGTGAGACCCTGTCTCAATTTAAAAAAAAAATTTGTTAGAACTGGAAACTAGTCTCTTTGCAGCCAGAAAGAATTTTTGTTTTGTTCTTCTTTTGTATTGTCTTGAGTTTTAGCTGGTTTTTATTTTTGTTTTGTTTTGTTTTTGAATGTCAAAACATAATATGCAGAAGATTTTTAAAATGTAAATAGTTTAAAAGCCAACTGGAATTAGCTGTAGCAAACACAGGAAGGGCAGAAGAGGTCGGCCTTGAGGGAAGGGTACACCACTCCCTCCTCCTGCCCTCTCCAGACTGCTTTCTAAGTATGTATTGACTTCATTCACCCAGGCCAGCTTTTCCCTGAGGTGGAGAGATGCCGGTGAAGCTCTCAGCTCCAGCACTAGAGGGAAAGCGACTTCTTTCCTTTCCGACTGTGAAGAGATCTCAGTACTTGTCTTGGACCGAAAGTTCTCCCATCAGTGTGTACCAATCCCCATGACCAGAGGTCACAGTGACCAGAGGTGGACACTGACTGAACCTGCAGCCAGGTGTCAAGGGCCCAGTCTATGGCTGGTAGGTGAGGCCTCCTAAGGCTGTAGCTGAGCAGGGTCCTACTTCAGGCTTCTGACATTGCACTTGGCCTCTCTTCTGTCTGGAAGGCTCTTCCTCCCAGAAAGCTGTGTAGTTTCCTTCCCTGCTTTTCCTACATCTCTGCTCAAATATCCCTCTCGGAAATCAGGCCCTTGGTTATCCACTAACCCAGCCTTTGGTTTCTGTGTGGCTACCATATTTTAAGAAGATAAACTTAGGCACATAAACATCTCAGTGAGTTTATCTGAACACTCAGCAGTTCAAGGATCAGGATGTACCAGAGCATACTGGGTTAGGATTGCACTGAGATGGTTTAACAGAGAGACTTTATATGTATGGTTGTCTTAGTTATCGTTTCTATTGCTATGAAGAGACACGGTGACCATGACAACTCTTATAAAGGAAAACATTTCATTGGAGCTGGCTGGCATTTTCAGAGGTTTAGTCCATTATCATCATGGTGCGACATGGTGTGCGGGCAGACATGGTGCTGGAGAAGGAGCTGAGAGTCCTACATCTTATAGGCAACAGGAAGTGGTCTGAGGCACTGGGTGGCATCTTGAGCATATGTGAGACCTCAAAGCCCGCCTCCACAGTGACACACTTCCTCCAACAAGAGCACACCTACTCCAACAAGGCCACACCTCTTAATAAGTGCCATTCCCTTTAGGGGCCATTTTCTTTCAAACCATCATATCCATCAGCTTGTAGAAACAGATGCAGAAACCCACAGTCAAACATTAGGCTGAGCAGGAAATCCTGCTAGAGATAAAAGATTGTAGGAGTCAGAGGGGTCAAGGACATCACAAGAAAACCCACAGAATCAACTAATTTGGGCTCACAGGAGCTCACAGAGACTGAGCCAAAACCAGGGAGCCTGCACGGGGCTGATCTAAGCCCTCTGCATTATATGTGACAGTTGTGTAGCTTGGTCTTCTTGTGGGACTCCTCACTGGGAGCAAGGGGCCATCTCTGACTCTGTTACTGATTTTGAACTTCTGACCTCAAAAACTGCAAGAGAATAAGTTCATGGTAAGTCACAAATTTGTGGCCATTTATTCTATCAGTCATGAGGCATCTCCTCCTGGAAGCTGTGACCTAATGGCCTGGCTGCTATCCTGGCCAGGAAAGGAGTCCAGCAGAGGCTACAGAAAAATGATCAAACTAGTGGCCCTGCAGACCTCCAGTTCCTTCTCCACCCCCAGGGTAAGCTATGTCTGCTGAGTGCTGTTGCTAGGTATCTTTTTTTTCTGGTTTTTTTTGAGACAGGGTTTCTCTGTAGCTTTGGAGCCTGTCCTGGAACTCGCTCTGTAGACCAGTGTGGTCTCGAACTCACAGAGATCCTTGTACCTCTACCTCCCGAGTGGTGGGATCAAAGGTGTGCGCCACCATTGCCCGCTGTTGTTAGACAAGTTGTCCTCCTCCCAGATCTTCTGGAGAGTGTCTGCCTGTTGGTGAGAGTGTCTGCCTGTTGGTGAGAGTGTCTGCCTGTTGGTGAGAGTGTCTGCCTGTTGGTATTGCTGGTTTCCAGGTGCACTGATGTCCCAGTTCTCCTGGGGTCCTCTTTGTGGTCTAGCCTGGCCTGAAAGACTATTAAGTTCAGAGAAAGTTTTAAAAGTAGCCTGGAGGGTCACAAACCGGTCTTCAGCATCCTTTCCTGTTCAGGGCCTCTCCTGAGATCTCCAGATCCAGACTCATCTGCCATTTAACCTTTCAGAGTCTCCATATCTGTCCCTAGACTGTGCCTCCCTGAGGCAGACTGCCCTTTCTGCAGCAGTAGGAGAAGCTGACTTTCATCTTGGGGTAGCCAGCTCCTGCACAGACCCAGTCTACTAGATTGTTTTGTGTTCCTGTAACACAGTAACTAGGTCTGAGAATTTATAGAGAAAACATGTTGATTTGGCTGACAGTTTTGGAGGTTGAAAAGCAAAGATGAGGTGGGCCCATCTTTTCTGGGATTTGGTGAGGGTCCCCATGGCTACATCACAGCATGGTGGAGAAACAGAAGGAAAACAGCTATGTTCAGAAGGAGTCAATCACACGGTATTTGTTTCACTTTATAACGACTCACTAAGGAGATCTAAATTACTTTGAAAGACCAGCATCAGTCCCTTCCAGGTGGAACTACATGATCAAATTGCCTTGCACTGGGTCGCACCTTTTTGTTTTTTGTTTTTTTTTTGTTTTTTTGTTTTTTTGTTTTTTTTTCGAGACAGGGTTTCTCTGTGTAGCTTTGCGCCTTTCCTGGAACTCACTTGGTAGCCCAGGCTGGCCTCAAACTCACAGAGATCCGCCTGGCTCGACCTCCCGAGTGCTGGGATTAAAGGCATGCGCCACCACCGCCCGGCTATGGGTCGCACCTTTTAAAGGTGCCACCCACCACCTCTCAGTATTGCAACACCGGGGACCAAGCTTCTAGGACATGAGTGCTTGGGTGACATACTCAACTATCATCCAAATCCTAACACCTAGATAGAGCATGCCTTGAACTCTGTTGGCAGGGACACTGGGTGGCTGGTGTGAGGACCAGACTGTCTTTTCTCCCCATTGTGATCTTGGAGGCCAAGGGCAGAGCTGGGTCTGATACAGCTTCTGTGTCATCCCCCCCACCCCACCCTCCGTTTCCGAGATTTAGGGGTAAGCCTGCTTGTGCGTTACATCAGCAACTTCTTCAGTCCTCCAGAGAGTGGGTTCACTTAGGAGGTCATCAGCACCACATTCCTAGTCTGTTCCTTTCCCTGACCTGAAATTCTGCTTCATCCCCCTCCTCTGCCCACTACCAGCTACAATCCTAGGCATCAGGTGAGATGGAAACCTGCGTGTTTGGCATTGAAGAACCCCTGGACCTCCTCAGTACCTCTCCTTCAGGCTCCTGGTTCTGATGACTTCCTTAGTTTTCTTGGCTCTGATTCCTGACTCTCTTGTTCCTTTGCACCATAGATACCTACCTCCAAGATCGCTCTTCTATCCTTGTGGTCTCATGTACAGCCTCCCCTGTGGCTTCCCACAACGATGTGCCACTGGGATATAATGCTCCTGGGCTCTGGGCTTCAGTGGACTCCTCTTGGAAACTCAGTGAAAACTGAACCCCAGACAAAGACCCTGCCTTACTTGGGTTAGCAGAAACCCTCTGTCGATCCAGGCATCACTGGTCACTGCCTCCGACCTCCAACATGTCCACTTTCCTGCCAGCCCACCTGTTTCCTGGCTTTCTCTACTCGTGTGCAGGCCCCAGCACTTCAGACTTCCTTTTGTGTGTCTAGTTTACTAAGCCCACAGAAAAGAATTCCCACCGTCCTTGAGCCCTGCTCACTTCAGAGACAACTAGCTGGCAATAGAATCCCTGCGTCAGCCTTTGGGACTTAGTGTCTGGTGTGGGCTGCTGGGAGAGGCCATCTTGCTGGCAACCCATTGACGAAGATTGAGGCTGGAAAGATTCCTAAAGGAGATTGGATGCTAGGGTAGCACAAAAGATGCTTAAATCCACTGTGTCTCCTGTAAGCTGCCCTGCCACACCCCACATCCCCACCGCTAACAAGAAGCTTTCCAGATTTGGCTCTGGTTCCTTGCCAGGCCACCAGGCATGCCTTCTGAGTTGTAGGACCTCTTAGTTGGATTATCCCAATTGCCAGTTCCTGCTTCAACCACAGGCTGAGAGAGCTGGGGCATGGCATGCACATCCCCTCTTTCCTCGGCTGAAAGGGCACTGAGAGGGCAAAGTGTGGGAGCCCATTTTCAGTTTTCCTTGTGGCTTTACCCAGCAGGTCCACATAGAGAGGATGATTGGACCACAGGCCTGAGTGCAGGTGTCTGAGATGGTCTGCACTGGGCTGTACTGTGTGTCTGTGGGGGGGGGGGGGGAGGTCTTTTGCTCAGCTCCTTGGCATTTCTTTAAATACCCTGGGGCAGAGACAGT